TCAAGCCGGGTACCTCCAATGCAAAATGGCAGAAGGCGACTGAGGAGGAGGCTCAGTATGAGAATTTGGTGTTCAAAAAGACCGTCAGGCCTGAATTGAGGCAGATGTTTTTTCAGCCTGAGACTGGTCCTGCATCTAGGTGCCACTGAGAGCAGGTGTGCATTTAGGTTATGAGGTTAGCAAAGTTGCATCTAAGGAAACCTCAGAGCCAGATCTCATCCTCAGATGCCCTACCTGGTCGAGCATGCCCTGGCTGTGTAACTCAGTCCTTTCTAGAAATGAAGGCCTCAGTCACAAGGTGCCTGAGCCATAAGGCTTTGGGTTTTACATTTCTAGTTTAGGGTTTAAGGCTGAGGATTTAGGGTTTAGGTTTAGGGTTTAAGGTTTAGAGTGTAGGGTTGAAGATTTAAGGTTTAGTGTTTGAGATTGATAGTTTAATTAGCATTTAAGGTTTAGGGTGTAGAGTTTAAGGTTTAGGGTTTGGGATTTATAGTTTAGGATTTAAGGTTTAGAGTTTGGGGTTTAGGGCTTGAGGTTTTTCGTTTTGGATTTAAGGTTTAGAGTTTAGTTTTTAAGGCTTAGGGTTTGAGGTCTAGAGTTTAGTCTTTAGGTTTTAATTTTTAGGGTTTGATGTTTAGAGTTTAGGATTTAAGGTTTAGGGTTTAAGGTTGAAGGTTTCGGGATTGACGTTGAGTGTTTAGGATTTAAGCAACAAAGTTTTGGGTTGATGGTTTAAGGTTGGATCAAGTTGGATCTAGATAAGGCTTAGGATCTACATTGGATCTGCGGCTGAGGCTGCTGGACTTGAGTCTTAGCCACTCACTGTGCTACCTTCTCAGCCAGAGATGAACATCAGCAAGGAGGTAGCTGAGATGCAAGATGTTTCGAAGGGTTTATTTGGTGTTCTTGGGTTGTTGTAAAGATTTGCTGAGGTACAGGCGCTGACGCTGAGGAAGAAAGAGGCTGAGAAAAAGTTTCAGGTAAGCTCCAAGAAGGCGGCCTGAAATGTTTCAGGTTCACCTGGGATGGCAAAAGCAGCAGCAAGCAAGAGAGAGGTTGAGAGTGAGAGTGAGAGAGAGAGAGAGAGAGAGAGTGTAAGGCTTCGGGTTTAGGATAGGTTTAGTTTTGACACAACAAAATTATTTGAAAAAATCGCAAGATTAGGGCGGCTGGCGAATGGCGGAGTGAGTTATTATTCCCAACCCCTAAACAATCTCCTTATTGAGGATCTATGCCTCTGCTGGACTACCCTCCACAGAATTTGACGAACCGTATGATTTCGTATAAACCCGAAAAAGGTTGTTTATAGTATGGATTTCATGGGTTCATAGATTTGCTCGTATCTGGCTTACACGGACTAACAGATTTCCTAATATCTGGCTATATGGCTTAAACAAATACTTAGAGAAATCTTACCGAAATGGCACGGCTGCTGAAGTGAATGAATATTCCGGACCCCTAAACTATTCCGGACTTTAGACTATAGCTCATATGTATCTGAGACTGCAAGTTGCTCTGTTTGGTTTTTACTGCGTAGTGAGGAGGAGTCACGTTTTTAATGACACTTCCGATGTATTTGAGGAGCATGCTGCTACTCAAGCCGGATCTCGGTTGGGGATGGGCTACTTAGAACAGAGACCATCGGCTTGACAAAGCAAAGAAACACACGCTTTTTGTCAATCCTTGTAGAAGCTTGCCTGTGCTAGTAGTGATTGCGTATTACAGCATACAAGCCAGTTCCTAGAGGGCATTTGCGCTTCCCCGAAGAAGGTGACGGACCCACAGGCGGGGTAGAGCTTTAAGTTGGTAAGGCATTAAAGGGTTTAGGGTTTAGCAGGGTGTGAAGGCTTTTGCAGTCTATGGACGAAACTAGGTGTAGAAACTCACAGACTCTGAGAAACCTGAATAGCTTAGCTTCAGCATGCAGCTTTGATCATGCTTATCAATTTATCTCAGAGGTAGTAAGCTCTCGGGATTGTTCTACGAATGTCCCTGTCTGATGGTGTCAAACGAATGACGCAGATTTTGCAGCTCCATCGTCTTCAGCAATCAGGACAGGTAAGCCGACAACTCAGCATCTGCAAGTTGAGACTCCTCTAGTAGGAAAGATCTTCGCGTATTCCGAGCAAGCTTCATTGGATGGCTCAGCAGAACTCGTAGGATTATCGGATGGTCTCTGCTTGCGTGCAATGTCAAGAGGATGATTTTGGTGCAAGTCCTAATGGAGAGGCTTTGCAGTGCAGGAAAAACCCTTTTTGGGAAAAACGTGCCTCAGGCCTTGCAGCCCCTCAGAAGAGCAGCAGGTGGTGCCTGCTGAAGAAGAGCCCTAGGCCTAGGCCTGCTGGCACTTCCAAAAAGAGGCGTCTTCAATACGGTCTCACCAAGTTCTATGGCAAGGTCTTAGAAAAGAAAGCAGCTAAGCTTACACCAGGCAAGGGGCTAAGTCCAGAGCTCACCTCTGCTTCTATGGCTGAAGAGAAGTACGAGGAGAAACTTGCTGAGATTCAGGTTCAGCAAGAAGGCTCAGACCTGGTAGCCATAGTCAAGAAAAGAAAGCTTACTCAGGGAAAGCGTCAAACAGCTGAACTGGAAGCTGGAACAAGCTAAGCCTGGGGATGCTCACCCTGAGGATTTCTGGAAAGCTATGGTAGCTCAGACAGGTGTGAAGAAACCTCAGCTGCAGCGCATTGTGAGCTCAGCCGACTCTATCAAAAAGCTCAGTGGGCAGCCTTTGCAGAGCTTCAACAGCAGAAACAAAAGGCAAGTGGGAGCCTCAGGAGCTGGCAGAAACGTGCCCATCCCTGAGATAATGCAGGAGCTCAGACAGTAGCTGGCTGTTGAGCGTAGCTTAGGCCACACAGTGATGGTCTCAGACATCTGCCACGAGTGCGTCAGCCTCATGCGAAGCACTGCAGCGAAACTCAAGCAAGCGACCTCAGAGAATACTGACTACTTGCTTAAGGCCAAGGACCTTGAGGAGAGAGCTCAGAAGGTCACTCAGAAAAGGACCTACACTAATTCCTGGGCTCGGCGACTGCTCAGTTGGATGGGAGCAAAGTACACCACCACAGAGCTGGTGTCGAACATCACTCAGTTCGAGTCTCAGGTCAGGTGTCAGCTCACGCACCCTCGGCTCTCCCGAAAAGTTTGAAAAAGAGGCCTCAGTTGTTTGGCCAGTTGGTGATGCCTCTGCAGACACCTCACAAGACTCCTCACAAACACGGCAGCAGAGACAGTCTGGGCAGCTCAGTGAAAAAAAAGCTCCCAGCTTCACCCTGACTCTGCAAAACAGCAACCCAAGCTTGAAGCTGAGGAGCAGCAGCAGCAGCTGACCACAGCTGAGCCCAAGTCTGAGCCCAAAGCTAAGGAGCGGCAGCAGGTGGCCACAGCTGAGCAAGCGTCTCAGGCGACTAAGAACTCACTGGCAAGCAGCACCCACTCAGGCACTTCCTGAGGCAGGCAGCCTCACCATTCTGGGTCATTGAGCTGAGGAAAGATTCAGAATCACCTAGACTCCCATGGAAGAGGTCTCTTAGTTGTGCCAGGACAGTGGGCACGACTGAGCAACATTTCTGAGGATGGCAAATCGCTCAGGACAGCGACCTTCAGCGTTGCCTCTGAGGAGGTGGTGCACACCAAGGGCACCTCAGCAGGCAGAGCCTTAGAAGCCTATAGGAAGGTGAGAAAGAGCCACCTGAGCTGGTCTCTCAGCTGGACACCATGTCTCAGGCTGCAAGCAATGTTGACTCAGTCACCCTCAGCTGGGTCATTGAGGGTCAGGCCTAAGAGCACCCTGGCTCCATGTGGCAGAGGGATTGCTTCAGCTCGGTGTTCGCCGACTCAGCAGTGCAAAGCATGGCTGCTGCTCAGCAAGTGAGTTGCTTAGTTTTTGCCAAGTGCACATCTACTGTAAGCTGCAAATCGTTGACTCTGACTTTGCTAAGCAATTCAAAGCTTTGGTCAGGAAGAAGCTCCTTGCTTTCAGGCGCGAGTTTCAGCGTGCTCAGAAGAACACATCCTCAGCGTTTAAAGCGGGTGCTCTTAAGATCGTAAGGCAAGAGATGGCAGCAAAGAACTGGCAGGACCAGAAATGGCCTCTTAGCCTGGAGGCCTAACCCTGAGACAGGCAAGCTGGAGGAGGTGTGCTCTCAGCCTTGGGCTAAGGAGCTTGGCCTCAGCGTGGGCTCCAGCTCTGGCTTGGGCAATCTTATGTGCTGGCCTGGGAAATCTCAGCTGACTCAGCTTGGCTGGCTTGGGCAACCTGAGCTACCACAGCTCTGCTGGCTCAGGAAATCTCAGCTGACTCAGCTTTGCTGGCTTGGGAAATCTCAGCTTACTCAGCTTTGCTGGCTTAAGAAAAGTCAGCTTACTCGGCCTTGCTGGCTTGGGAAATCTCAGCTTACTCAGCTTTGCTGGCTTGGCAAATCTCAGCTTACTGCTTGAAACTTGACGATCGTGTCCGCGTACCCTGCCTTGATCGGGTCAGTCCAGGGCCAGACCATCACCCGAAAGCCGGTTGCGGTGAGAACCTCCACGCCTTGCGTGCCTGGGTTGAAAGAAACCACCATCCCATTGACGTAGTCGACGTCTTTGCGAACGTTGCGTGCGAGACCAGTTGCATGCCCTTGTAGATTGGGAGGCGCAAGGGCGCGAGGGCAGACACGTTCTCCAAAAGCTGTCCGTCCCTGTAGTTGTCAGGGTTGGAGTCCACGTCGGCGGGCAGCACAACCAGAGGTGAACCCGATGGGTAGAGCGTGCGGCCAGCTCGTTCATGGTATGCGCACCGTGCCGGGTGCACGTCAGAATGACGGTGTCCGGGTGGGCCTTGAGGAGCTTGCGAACGCCCGCCACCGTCGGCTCCTGCGGCGGGCCCAGGCCTTGTGCTTACGAAGCCACTTCAAGGTGCTGGCCTTCGGACGGCTGGTGCGCAGCTCCATGAAAACTTGATTGAACTCAGGATCTTTGCAGCGATAAACCTGATGCAGCTTGATGCAGTAGACCATGCGTTCCCACATGGGGCTGTGCCAGGCACGCCTGTCGCCGAAGCCGCCCATCTGCATCTCGTCGCCTGCAAGGAGCACGGCAGGGACATTGTCAGCCTGGTTCCACAGCCTGCACACGTGCTCGAAGTGCTCCAACTGCAGGTGAGACACCTCGTCGATGACGATGAGGCTGTACTGCGCCAGGGTGACTGCTATGGATCCGATTTTCTCGTCCAAGCCGAAGGCGGCGTGGTAGGTGTTGACCGCCACATCTGCTGGAAGCTTGGCTCGCATCCGACTGGCATGGCGGTTGGTAGGACGCTGCTGCCAAGTTCCAATGTTCGAGTGACGCAGGCCAGGGCCACAGTGGTTTTGCCCGTGCCAGCCCTCCCGTGCAGGCGAAGATCTCGCCGTCCGCATACGCCGCCCATCTGCCGCAGCCTGGAGGGAGAGGGCCCGATCCACAGCCCCATACACGCGGTCCTGCACACGCCGCTGCTCCCGATTGAAAGCGCAGGCAACATCCGCTGCGGCACCCCTGGCGGTAGCTGGGTTAGTTGTAACTCTT